AGCTGCTGCCTGTGAGCCACTGCGCTTAATCAAAAAACCATCAAAATGCATCCCCATTCCTTTTTTATTAGTTCGAGTTATGAATCTTTAATTTTAAGACCCTAGAATCTCTATTGTTATCAGCAGTGCTGTTTGGTTTTTTTCTCTATCACTGCAGTCTTTGCTGAGTGTGTGGGTGGATTCTGGGTCAGATTTATCAGAAGGCTACAGGATCAATTTCAGGTTTTGAGCAGCTCCACTATTTCATTGTTTGTGCGCTCGACTTCTATTGACTCACTGCCTTTCCCACAATATTCTACCCTTCAAAGCCAAAAAGCAGCAACTACTTTTTGGTTACATGGTCCTTTTTTCTGCCTTTTCTTTTCCTGAAAACCCCCCCCCCCCCCAAACTATTATGTAACAGAAATGTATAATTTACAGGAAAGCAGCATATAAAGTTGTCTTAGAAAGTGAAAGATTGACATTTGGATGACTAGACAGAGAGCCACGACAAGGTTAAATAAACCTTAATTTACTTGCAGATGTTTCTTGGTGGGGAAAAAAAAGCAGCTAAATAAAAGCACAAGATTAAGGCATCACAACTGATTTATGATTAAAAAAAGCATGTCAATCCAGAACAGACCTCTGTGAAGGATACACTTGTTTAATCTCGGTTATACTGTAGCTCCTCCAGCAATTTCCTCGCTCCTCAGAGTAGAACTAAGAGCACTGGGACGTTTTTCATAATGGCAGACCTGAACGACTTCCAGATCAATCAAGGACCGAGAAACGATAAAATAAGGGAATTGGGATTCGCCTATAGTCTTTCCTTTTTTTCTATTTTGTACTTGTATTATTTTTTATCCTTGTAGATAATAATTGCAAATCTCATAGAAGGTCATCTTCATGAAACACCAAAAACACCCCCTCAGCCTTCTTGCAGCCTCTACATCAAGGTCTGCAACGTTTGATCTAACCAAAAAATAACCAGCGCTCCACAAAAACACCTTTTCCATTAACATGCCACACACACACAAACAAGGCCACCTTGCACACCCGCATGATGGCCAGCTGACTGACAATGTGCAGCCAGCAATGCTTTTTGTCCTGGGTGAAAATTTCCCTGGTTGTTTCGCTATTCGATTGGTGCACACCACCAGCCTTTGTTCCTGTGTTGCTGGTAAATCAACATTAGTCAGCTTTTCTCACCAGAGCTGCTATTGTCAGTTTTGTTCACCACAGAGCACAGTCCATCTAAAGGTCACTGTTTTGTTTGTGCACCACTCTGCTGCAAGAGGCTCCTGTAATCAAAACTCACTGCAGAGTTCTGCAGCGACAGTTAAGGCCTCCTTCTGTCAAAATAGCACTGACTTCATTTGCATAACAATCAACATCATGGGTTGTCAGTGTGCTATCACAGCATTCAGCCCAGTTTCCTCTCCACCACAGCTGGGGACTGGGATCAAGTCAAGGTGAAATTTACCCCCTTTCCTTGTAATGATGGCTCTGAGTTGGTTCTCTCATCCTCTTTGCCTGAGTGGCTTCCCCTCTCTGCATTCAGTGAGAGTGGATGGCGATTAGCCCATGGGAGCTGTCCTCTAACCCTTCTTCTACTAAAACACCCCAGGTCCTCTGCTTCCATAGAGAAAGAAGTAACAGCTGGGCTGCTTGTTGATTGGATCCCTTCTAGTTTTGGAGCTGTAAACCTGTTTTATCTCCCCATTAACTACCTTCTGTGTCATATCATAAAGGTATGTCACATTATGACATGACAGAAATTGTGAAGGGTATTCTGTGCATCCTGTACAACCAAATATACCCTATTCTGATGCACAGTGACTGGTCTTTGCTTTGCTAAAGCTTGATTAAAACAGAGTCCATATATCATCAAACACTGCTGAATTTTTAACATTTTAAAATTTATTTTTTGCTCCATCAGATACACAAATGAGGTCCTTGCAGAATGACTGAATGAGGGGAAACATCCTCTGTGGATAATTTATTCTGCTGTGGACTGGAAATACAATATTCACCTTTCTTTTTCTGTAGCTGTGTTCTGGTCTTCACCACCTCCTGACAAAATATCTGGGTTGATGCCTAGGCTACTTGCGTGTAGACCATTTCTTGATGCTGCCCCCTATTGGCTCCTGCAGGAGGCCAGCAGCAGGAAAAGGTGGAGGGATAACACAAGATGAAGAAAGGCAAATGCTTCCTTACTGAACTTTTAAAACAGCTTTATGTGTAAATCTAGGTTTGTTTATGCTGCAGGCAAAGCTGCCCTTATGATTCATGTGATTATGTTTTGTGTTCTGCAGTTTCAAACCAAATTTACCTGTTAAAAAAAGACCCAAAACTGCCATACATCTAAAAAAAAAGTTGTGCAACAAAGCAAACTCTTAAAGTTTTCATTCCCCCCCAAAAAAACAAAAAGCTAAATGAATATGCTTTCATGTGTTACCAATATTATTATTTGGCAGAAAAGCTCAATCAGCAATGCTCTAATGGAAAGATGACAACAGAGCAGAGCCTACTCTGCTCAGTGTATTTAGTGTCTATTGCCACACGGCCTCTTTGTTCAAAGTGGCCAAGCATCATAAATGCTGTGCTGACATGCTGCTCTGCAGCTCAACAAGTTGGACCCAACTCTAGACATAAGCACTCTTTGGAAAATGTAGAGGTGCCTTGATGTCGCTGGAAGCCTCCCATTTCATTAATTTCATCAGACAGGTTTTAATGCTCTTTAAGGTCACCCTAGGGAAAATGAGTGCGGTGTGGTTACCAGCCAAGCAAAAGTTCACGGCATCTGAGATTGGAAGGAAATGGATTAGGTCTGAGAAAGAAAGACTTAGAGATAATTTAGAGACATGGTGAAAGAGAATTCTTTGGGAGAAATGGATAAAGAGACATTTTCAGAGTGGTCCACTGAGGAGTAACCTGGCTTCTTGTTTTTGCTGGAGCTGTGGAACCAGGTGATTAGAGCAGCAGAATGTGTGGAGAGCTGTGACCGATGGACCTCAACTACTGTGATGATTAAAGTGTGTGGAAGGAGTTGTGCAGGGAGAAAAGAAACACAGGAGAATAGAAGTGCATGAGTGTGGAAACAGGATTGCTTTCCCAGTCTCAGTGGCCACAGGAACTACCTGCATGATCTGATTGAGACATACTTTACGGTGTAAATAGACTCACTGCTTGTGTCAACAACAATCTTGTTTCATGGATAGATATAGGTATATTGTCAGCAGAGATCTCTCTAGCAGCACAGAGAAGTCAGCATACAGGGTGATGGCAGCTGGCACCAAAGACTCGTTACGTTCTTTGCCACAGCTGCCCAGAGTCCACAGTAAAGTTCATGCACAACTCTGTTTTTGCATCACTGCTGACACCTCACTGGGTCTGGCATGAATCAGCAGTTACATTCAGCTGGTGCAGAAACAAGTCCTCTTCCCACTGCTGTACATTTGTGGCCATTGCCGCTCTGTGTGGATAATCGAAGGGATGATTTTGAGTAGCCAGCGAGGATAATCATGGTAATTCTTAATTACTGGCAAAGCTATGAAAGGCATCACAATTTATTGATCTGTTTTCATTTGGGAGGAAGACATTTACAGAATATGGAGTTGATTTTGATACCTAATGACCTCTTAACGACTAAAAAAAGGTTTAAAATCCATTTAGTGTGCGCACACACACAAAACCCCAATGAATATTCCATATGCATCCACACAAGCTAAGTACATTATAAAAGGGGCCCTTTGTGCAAGGATTTCCCCTCTACATTAAGCTTTTCCATGATTGTGGTGCAGCTCCTGAGGTCCCACAGCAAGTATCTTAATTGGAACAAACATGAGGTCCAAGTTATCGTTCCTATGCAAAATGAGTGCCAAGTAAGCAATGAAGAAGAACAAGGGCTGTGAGCTGTCATCCTGTGTGCAGACATGCTACGGAAAGAAAAAGACAGAAATGTTCCCAAACCCCCAAAACCAGGCCTTACCAAAAACCTTCATTATTTCATTAGCTTGACATTTAATGTCTTTTGCTAATTTCACCAGAATTGCTTATAAACAAGATGTTGAATTGATTAAGTCTTTTACTTCTGTTGCTCTTAAATGCAACATGATCATTTTTATGTGCCCAGTAGATGTTTTTAGTGTTTTTTTTTGTTATGCATCTCTGCCTCCCAACGTCTAGATACATACTGTATGGAGTTGTATTACAGTTTGTTTATAAGAAGTCCACATGGAGTTTGACCTCTCTGTAGATTAACTGACCCAAAACAATGGAAATCACTATGTAGGATAACATATAGTATTTTTTAGCAAGCAAAAGGAAATGTGTTCATGCATAGCAAACAACGTATAAAATAAGTTTATTTGCTCCTCTTATTTAGTATGTAACCAAGGTTTTATGCTATAGTTTGTGGTTAAAAGGACAGGTTTCCCACTTCAATATGTTTCTGCAAATCAAGTTTAAATATTTTTTTTAAAGGGGAGAAAACATTTGAAGGAAAACAATGGTTGACACTATTATGTTAAATATCGGTACACACACACAGCAGTGAGCTTTGTAGGACCCAAACCAAAGACGACCTTGCCTCCATTAAAGCCCCAGGCTTAATGATGACCTAACTTGCACCTGAAGAGGGCGCCCTCACAGCTGAATCACCTGACTGAAGTGAAGGTGAGAGGTGGAACTGGACTGGAGTCTGCTAATTTATTCATAAACCAGCAATAGATAGAAAATATTAAAATCTTATCTAGACACTGAACTAAAAGTAAAGGCTACACCACACACTCTAATTCATATATGCAACCGAAACCTCTTGTAGGTTATGTCTTGGTTAGGTAGATTATACCCTAAAAGCAAATCCCTCTAGGTAAAGAGTCTGTTGCCGTCCTACAGCAGCAGCAGCTCATGAATCATCTCGCTGCTTCGTTCAAATACCGCTCCTGAGACATGGCCAAGTTGCAGGTAATTGGCTATCCCAAGGCGAACTCTTACTGTCCCCTCAGCAGCTGGAGAAACGCTTTGCGCTTGCCTCATCAGGTTCTTCTGCACACAGGGAGCATCAAACACAAGAAGACAAGTCATTGGCTCTGAGGACTTGATGACGGAGGGAGCGCACTGTTTTCTCCAGGAGCGCGTTACTGGAGTCCCTCAAGACGCTGCACCTCCGTCCAGTGACGTGAAACCAGTGTGTCGGACTGGGATGGGCCTTTAAGCGGTGGACTTGGTCTTTTTCTAATTTTTTTTGGTTATTTCGGAAGTGGGGACCTGTTGGGGCGAGCTCGTTGAGTCGTCAGGAGCGCGTAGAGTGGAACAAAAGCAGCCCAGTGCAGCGCAGACAGCAGCAGAGTTACGGGGTCCGCGGGGAAGCGGTGTCGGTGCATGAGAACAACGGACAGTTGACGAGCAGGATATTGAGAAGAAAATCGGCGTCGGAATTTGGATATGGCGGGTGTGAAATCGGTCGAGCTTCTCCTTGGAGTTGTTTTAGTTTTGCAGTGTGTGGGGAATGTCCAGGCCGACATTTCAGCCAGCAACGGTAAGAAACAGCACCGTAAGCATTCACCAGCTATGATCAGAGAGTTTAGGTTCGTCTCTTAATGACCACCAAATCCTGCAGAAGTCGATCTGAGTAGCATGCAGGGGAAGATGCGGACAGGTGGAGCGTGGTTTGCTGACTTTGTTTTATGCTCAGGTTGCATCTTTTTATTGGGGTTGCATTTGCAGTTAGAGAGAAACCCTTTTGCTTTCATTATTTTATTTTTAGGACTAATTAGGAGGGGCTACCATACAGTATGCCCATTAACTTAACATTTTCTGTCCAGACCAAATTGTTTTTTTTTTTTTTGCTCATACTCACTAGAACTACAATTAATCATTTTGCTTTTTCCATCTTTTGCATTTCTCTCAGACTGAGACTGCATCCTTTTTGTGTCTTCTGGCTTATTTGTATCCAAAGTTTAGGGCTGTTCCCCATTGGTTTCTGTCAATTTTGACAGAGAAACCTTTTTCTACAACTTTCAACAGATGTGAGATCAGTAACCAGTGCACAGTGCAGGTGTTTCTCTGTAGAGGTCCTGTAGAGGAACCTGCATGCCCTGTCTCTACTTGATTACAGATTCTGAACTGCAGTGTGAACAGTACCTCTACTGTAAAGCTACACACCATATCTAGTCCATCCTCTGATCCTCTGCAACCCACACTCCCCCCGCCCCACACACACACACACACACACAGACGATGGAATAAGTCCATGCCAACATTGGTTCTGTTCACACAGGCGAGCTCTTGTTTCCCAGGTCTTTTATTGCTGGCAGCGAATTTTCATCACGTATCACATGGTGTTTAGAGAAATGTTCGGCTGCTGACAGTGACTGTAAATCAAATCCGTATGTGTGTATGTGAGTGTAGACCTCAGAGGAATGTGTGGCTCTGTTTGGGAGGAAGATGCTGTTGGCCGTGTGTGACACTTCGTACAGAAGCACACACTTTTTTGTTTCACTCGGTCGTACTTATGAATCCAATCAATCCCTTTGGCTGTGCTGTGCTCTGGCTCATTTGACATCAGTCCAAAACAACATCTTGTTTTCCTTTACCCAACCTGGAATTTGTGTTTCTTGTGGGAAAACTACCACAATGGGGCTCGTTTTAGGTTTAGGTTACAGGTTAAGGAAAACTCCAACACATCCACAAGCAAAAAAGGACACTTTCATCTCAGTGTTTCATCACTCCATCTCTTGCTTGAGCAGGACACAGTAAAACTGAGTCTCCCTGTATGTAGGACAGTATTTATAGACATCTGGGGTGAGCTGCTTCCCTTGTCATAGACTGGCTTCTTCTCTTGCTGCTGTAAGGAGTAGCTCCTGTCCTTCCCTGAAATAGGGCTTGATTAATAGGGCACAGGTGGAATCCTACACTCTCTTCAAATCCACTGGGAAGACATAGTGCACTGTTCACTAGTAAAAAGCTTTCACAGTCTCTGAGCATGCCTCAGCATCTCCAGTAGAACCTGAGATGTAAGGATTGGCTGAAGCATTCATTTTCCCTCCTTGCATTCATTAGTCAGATGAGCTGGGGAGCACATCTGGGTGAAATTACACAACATCCCGTGAACTCAGTGCAGTGTTTTTTTTAAGCTTTCAGTTTGTGGTTCTGTGTTGTTCACCCAGTGATAACCTCACAGTGGTACACATGCAAAAACTAGGGCTGATTTGGGGCTCCACTGATTTTCTAAGAGTGTAAAAAAATAGATATTCCACTATAGTCTGGAGTGTGTCTGCATGTGAGAGAGGGGAATAAGACGGAGAGCAGAGAGCAGAGAGAGAATGCCTTGTGGTCTAATTTAAAAGTCTGTGCTGAGGGCTGTTAATGTGCTAAGACTCTGGTTGTGTGTGGAATTTCATTCATTGTGGATGCTCAGATTGTTTGTTCGCAGGCTCGGGGAGGTTGATAACCCGTTCACTGGCACCAGCGATATGGCCCTGTCCAGCTCAGTGTGCCGCTCGTCATTGATCATACTGCCAGAAGCTGCCTCTTCGATCACACAAACACACACTCAGAGGCAAATGTGATTGTGAGTCACAGACGAACGTGCAGACTGGATCACCAAGAGCTTTACCCTCATGACTAGAGGCAGGTTCAGTCAGTTCTGTTTTGTATCTGGTTCCAAGTTGGTATAAAAAGCAACATTTGTTACATTTCTATCCACCATTTTAAATTTGTGCACCAAAACAGAATAGGAAATGGCAAAAATTAGACAAAAACAAATGGCCTTGATGCAGATATGTTGGCGTATCAATAAAACATAATGTGACAGAGTGCAATGGAAACAGACTTCATGATGGACATGAAGCATTGGACTTGAATGTCACTGAAGTTTCCAGTCCACAGAACAGAAGAAAAACAGCAACTGACAACAACATCAGTTCTCTGTGTAATGACTGTAACCTTCCTCAAAATGCCAATGCCATACTTCCATCATGTTTTCCACATTGGTTTTGTTGACTGGCACTCCCTTCAGTTATGTCATCTTGTTGCACCCCCGACTACTGCAGTGATTTAACAGTACCCAACTGGAGAATTAGCCGCACCAAAGAACTTATGATGTTTGGTGATTTAAGAATGACGAGTGCTCCAGCTCTACCTGCTGCCGGTCTTGTTTCCCAGTTTTTTTCATTATCCCTGACCCAGACAATTTATCTCATAGCCTAACCTAACCCCAACAGGAAAAACTACTTTAAAAGATTTAGTAAGAGATTTCAGAGGTTTCAGTTTCATCATCAGACCGCATCCCTTCTCATGACAGAAGTGGCTATGTTGCTCCCTTCTCTATGTTGTGCTTTGATGATTCCTGAGATAAAGTCTGTGGAAAAGTTCTTTCCACAGAAGCAGGTCCAGCTCAGCCTCCTTCAGTGGAATCTCACCCCTGCTCTCCCTCCCCCATGTCTGCCTCTTTCTGACACTGCACATTTCAGAACAGACAGAATGAGCTAGCCTCTTTATTGCCCGGCTGAATGACCTGCTGAAAGGAGCTGCCGTGAATGGATGAGGGGGGGTGAGAGACGGGAACAGCGGCGGCGGCTGAGGTTATTGTGCTGCCCACTATGCGACGACAGCAGGCCATGCTATACATCACAGAGGCAGGGTCGCCTCCACATACCAGCATGCAACAGCAGCACCAATCTCCTGTATTAGTCACGCCTGGCTCTTGTCTTGAAGCTCTCCGCCCCTTTGAGTCCAGGAAGAAGCTCAGCCTGACTGCTTGAGAGGGCTGGAGCGGCACACAAGGTTCAATTGGCTTAAAGAACAAAGAGGCCACTAGTTAATGAAATCCAGTGTAGTTAAGCTCCTCTTTAGCTTTTCTTATTGTCTTTCATGTGGTTTAAAAGTTCCTTCGCTTCCAGTTGTTGCACAGCTCTGCCAAGTTAGCATGTCTTCGAGGTTGCAATAATCCCTGCATTTTCTACTCTGCATGATGTGTTTCTAACATTGTGCATCCATCACGCAAGTTGAAAGGGTCAAAGGCAGGAGAAGGAGGCTTGTGATGTTATGGAGTGATACAGATCTGACTGTCAGCAGTTCATTGAGGGATGACAAGCATTTTCCATTCATAACAAACATCCAGTAGACCACAGGCTGTTAACTGCTCCTTCTTGTAACTCTGCTGAGGAGTGAAATGAGTAAATTGGTGGTGTTCAGCTGGTAGGAGTCTGTCTCTCTTTTGCCTGGAGAGGAAAGGTCGAGAGGATAACAAGGAGTGGGAGGAGGTGTGGATAGCAGGCAATTCCCCTCCTGGGCTGAGCAGCCCCATACTGCATGAGAAACAAATTATAGTGGCATAAACACTAAATATTACACTTTAAACTAAGCTGAGTGATGATTAATGGTATAGATTAGAAGAGCAAAAAGGAATTGTAGGAATAATAAGGGATAAGCTCTCCCGCGGGTGCTCTTTCATAGTTATATGTTTGTCAGACTGTGATAGTTAACAACACAGATCCAATTTTTGTGACAAAGTGTTGTATATTGACGTTATTCTTCCCTGCCTCATTTGCTTTTGCATCAGTTTTTATTTCCTGTTGCACTGAATCAATAACAAAAGATGTCAAAACAAGAATTCATCACGTCAGTTTTTCTGCTGAAATTGAAGACACTTTTCCACAAAGCAACCTGATAACTGGTGTATTTTCACTACTGGCTATATTGTTGGCTTTTTTTTTTTTTTGCTTAATCATTTAGTGAATAAAATATCAGAAAAATAATCACACTATCCTAAAGCATAACATCTTCTAAAGGCTTGTTTTGTTGAACAAACAGCCCCCAGACATTCCAGTCACTAATGTTAGGCCAGGAAAAGGCAGCAAATTCACATTCTTGCTTGGAAAATAACACAATTAATGGTGACAGTAAAAGGATGACACCTAAATCAGAAATTTTAAATTCTCTTCAGATTCACTTTCTCCTGTTTAACTAGATTATAGCTGCAGAGGGGATACAGTGCACAGTACTTATCCATGGATAGAAAAACAATACACCCTGAAACAAATGTGGTTAGAAGTACAGTATAATTAAACACCGACCATGTGTTCACAATGTGAAACTTTTTCGGACTGGATTTTTCCTTTCAAGCTGTCTAATCTGGCACATGTTAGGAATTCTTCCACTTTCTGTCTGGTCTTGCTTGTATGCTGAGGACTGCTGGACACTTGACTTACGAATGAACTTATTTGTCTTACGTGGCCTATCTGACCTAGAGAAATTACATACTGATACTTGATACACACCAGTAACTGTCTGTTATTTGATGACAATCCACAGTGTTGAATTTTATGGGAAACGACATAAAATAGCGGGCTGGCACTTCATGAGGTGTGTAATGAGGTTCCCTGTTGGTTAAAACCTATTAAAAAATCTAAAAAATAATAACATGGAACACAGATTAAATGATTTTGTGCTTTAAGACACAGTAGACACCTACTTAAAGGTGTTAGAGAACTATAATGAATAGCAATTTAGATTTTTACCTCCATTTGGTATCTC